AAACCTTGCAAAGGCCTTCACAAGATCTCTCTGTCATTTCATATTCATTTTGTAAGATCTTTTGAAGATCTTTTAATGATCCTTGAAAGATCCTTCCCTTGTAAAATCCTCAAAGATCCTATAGTAGGAGTTTTTCACCAGGTCACCCAGCATATTAACAGCCAAGATCTAATGACAATAACGTTTAACATCTAAAGCTAATATGATCTAACCTGTTAAGACACATGGCTGGTAAAACCTTAGGGTAAAATCTTTCTCTTGATTCACTGTTTGGCAAAGTCTGCAAAAACTGCCTGGTAGCCACAGATGCTGCAAGGCGAACCTAACATAAAAAACATTTGATGTAAAGTTGAGAGCTTTTTTCATTGAGACAGAAGTAATTTGTTTAAAAAAAAACACACACACAAAGGATTGCTATTTATGATAATCAAGCCCTTCTATTTTGATGATATCTAAAATAATCTGTGTATTTATTTTTACTAGATTTGAGTTCTGAGAGAATACATGTACATATTTTTGCATCATTCACTCCTAAATTTCCTAACTCTTACATTAGTATACGCTGAAGCTAGAAGTCAGAGAATTGAACAGAGTATGAACAATTTTGAGGGAGCTAACTTCAAAGTGTAGGACTTAACAGACATAATTTGACAGAACAACAGAAAAAATTATATGTGGAAAATAATACTTGTCTAGAAGCCAGGCTTCTCATTTTTGACATCACAAAATTATTCCTTTACTATCAGCCCTCTGACATATTAATGAGCATACATTTTTTATTTGAGACAATGCAACAAAATTCTGGTGATCAAATATTATGTCTTGTTACATAATTCTGGTAACAAGTGCTTGATTAAACAAGAGCCTTTCTGTAATTGGTAAGTTTAAGTTACTGACATAAATTTTATGATATGTTTATGGAACTGAATTTTTGCAAATAAATATTAGAAACAGTCATGTGTCATTCCACATATATCTTACTTGACTCCAGTTATCAGACAATCCTTTTTTCAGATAATCTGCAAATTGTTCTCCATGCTTAAGAATAGCATTCTCTTCAATATCTACCACCATTGCCTCTGCTGCTTCAGAGATTTCATCTGAAACAAACACAATGGAAAAATGATGTTCAACACCACTAGAAGCCACTTCAAGCTGACCATCACAGCTAAACGTTTGCGACTAGTTTTAAGTCATCTTCTAAAATGCCATCTTCTTCATAAAAGTGATCTTCAGGTTGAAGAAAAAATGAAGATGTCTTAACTAGTTGAAAAATTCAGTTTTTTTTTTAAATTTTAAATTTTTTAGTCTTGTAAATGGAATCTTCTCACATACTGCTGGGAGCGATGCCAAGCTGAACCAAACAGCCTGACCTCTATTAATGTAGCAACATAACATATTAACTGTCTTACAATGGCACAAAAAAGTGACTAGAAAATAACTGATTCACTGCAACTAAATAGACTCTAAAAATACTTGGGTGGGTGGGGCATGTCAGGCAATGGCCGATGGCAAAACAAAAACTGAACCATGTACAAGCCATGTGACCTAAACCACTTCATACACTTGTACCCAGACTCCCAGCTGTGTGTGAGAAAATTGTTTTCCACTTCATTCATTCCTCAGCCAGCAGAAAACCACACATCACAAAATTTAAAATTTATATATTTTTTGGAAATTTTAACAAAACTTTGAAATCCTACCTTGCTTTCTTCCCAGTCGAACAAGTGAAGCACAAAGTTGATAACCGGTTTCTCGCACAAATCTGTTTGTGTGGTTCAGAGCCTGGAATATGAGATCCAGAAGATTCTGAGTGATGTGCTCATTAAATGCCTTGCCACAGCCTTCGATCACCGACTGAAGACATCTGAAGAATAAAATGTTACTTTTAGAAATCTTTTTTTTTCCTTGACATACACTGTACACATAACTAATCTATAATAAGTCGTCACGAATGGAATTTAAGAAAACACCATATGAGAATGTGCAGGGCTTTCATTAAGATCTGGGCACCAAGCAAATTGACCGTCTGGATTGAACATCTACGGAAACGTTTTTCTCATAAAGATGTTCAATCAAAAAAGTTTTGCCCTCCTGTTGAAAACATTAATGAAACCCCTGAATGTGTATGTTGATTATGCAAGCTGTTTCTGTGCCTCTATACAGAAACTATGAAACTCCAGATGTGCTTACGTTTGGAGAGACTCAACTGAAAAAAAAAACAGTGGAAACACTCGCCTTGGGGGATTGTGTCACCACAGCATTTCTTACAACTCCACAAACCTTGCAGTTGAGTACATTTCTATAACTTTCCAGGAACAAGAAAATCCTTGGTGTTTCTTTATCAACTTTATAAAGAGCTTTAGACAAACCTCATACTCGTCTCTAGATGTTTCCAGCCTGCTGTGTCATGGAATATCTGAGCTGCATCTGCTTTCTTGTGCTAGGAAGTTGCAAGAAAAATTTTACAAAAAAAAGAAAAAAAACATAGCACCAGGCCACGTGGTAGGGATCATTGCAAGATGCTGCCTTAAAGTTTACAACAGCACATTAGCTGAGGACAAAACTTTATCAGCTGTAAATATGCTTGCACTCAAAGGAACCATCAAGGTTTCCCAGCATTTCATGATGTCAACATGACCACAAAAAGCAAGACTGAGAGTGAATTTCCTTGCATATCCTTAGACAAATTTGGTGAAATCTGGCAGACTGGCGATAAAAATTTTACTTTACTTGGAGCCAGTTTTTCAGGGAAAACTATCTGACCAGTTTTTACACAGCGGGAAAAGACTAGAGTTACAAAAATTGAAAAAATTGTACATGCAATCCCTACGCCTACTTTTTACATATTACATTCTTATCCTGGGTTATACATGGAAGAAGAAGAAGCTGTTAAGGATGTTGATGACAATCCTACAAAGTGCCAAGTAACAACATGCAATAGACTAGCAACCCATTTTTTATGAAAAACTATGCTTTCCCAACACATCATGTTAAACTACAAAAACAGTCTATTGCCAAGGCATTAATAGGCTTTAATAGGCTGAAAACAGAGCTTCCTGCAGGCTAAAGAAGATGACCAACTCTTTGTTCCTGACACTGTTAACTCAAGCTAAAATACTTACAGTATCTTGTTCTGTGTCCTTTTCAGCACCAGTCAGTTTATAAACAAGTCCCTCAGCTACCTCACAAGGATCAGGCAGTTTCCTCTCCAGATTTTCACTGACATTTTTTAAAATCTCATCACGACAAGCTATAAACACTGCTGGTCCTTTTGCTGCACAAAGAGCTCCAAGCACCTCCCCTTTTAAATCAAACAGAAAATCACTTAATAAGGGTTGACACTTTTATTACAGGAGGGAGGAACTGAGTTAGGGCCAAGGAAACATAACTGGATTAGAATTCAAAATTCATACTCAAAACTGTACTCAAACTACTATCTAAGGGATGGAGCATTATTTTTTCAGGGGGGTGGTGAGTTGGGTAATTTCCAATGGGGAAAAAGGTCAGGCAAGTGCTTTCTACTAACCAGGTCCTGTGTTTGACTAAAAAAAAATCTTGCACGAGCTATTGCTAAAATCATGCACAACCTAAAGGTGAGAAAAAAAAAATTCATGGCCCAGACATGAATTTCATGCCAAACAACCCCTCAAAAAATTCATGGTCCATCCCTAAAGGCCTCTAATACTGTATCCCCCCCAACCTCTTCAAAATAAATATTAAGTAAACCAGTTACACAAACATCAATTCCTATAAAATGGCGTCGGCCAGGGTTTTGAGTACACAGTATATAATTTTAACTTTGGTTTACAGTTTAGTGACCAGGGTTTAGTCGTTCAGGAATTTTTGACAGATTAAGCTCAGTCAGCAAAATTTTTTTTATATTGATCCGCGTTTATAAAATCTGAATTGTGAAGTTCGTTTTACCTGAAGCAATCCTGACTCTGGCTTCGTCATCGTGCATTAATTGCAGTGCCTGTTTTCTAAGGTTCTCGCTGAAATCCTCAGACCCAAGGTTGTTCAAAATTAAAGCCTTTGATCCAAGCAGCCCTCCTTGCTTTGTCTCCCAACCTCGATCAGTCGATGTGACAAATTCAGTTAAAGAGTTTTGCAAATCCTCAACTTTTTTAAGATCTGAAGTGAAGTTTGAAGAGTCTTTCAACCTCTCCTCTAAAGTTTGAAGGCCCCTGTCTCTTTCAAGCTTGACGTGACTACAAAGAACTGCCAAGATGTCATCTATAGTTTTGTCCGCCATCTTTCTTTGAGTATGATGAAAAGGATTGTGGGTAGAACTTGCTTATCTTTCTACTATGGCCCGGTAGGGTGGGGAAAATATATTTTGGAACTCCGTGTTTAAATAAAAGATGCTGTTGTTGTTGTTGTTAGTATCTCACCGAAAACAGCCGCCATCTCGTAGCTAAATCTTACAGTGTATTGTAATAAACAGGCGTACATCAAGCTTCGTTATTCTATCAAGCTTTTCCACACTCTTGCAAAGTATTCTTTTAAGTACGTTGTGCCAGTTTTGTATGACTTCGAACTTGACGGGGGAGGGAAAGAGATTCGACGAGGGAGATGTGGGGGGTTATCTTCCCTTTATTATGCCACCGAGGCGCATCAGAAATGTATGATTATAGATATTTAACGTACATAAATTAGGCCCAATACCAGGCAATATCAGGGCCGGAGATTAGTGACTTGATATCGCAGAATATCAGGACTGCACGGAGAAGACAGGGCCCCTGTATGTATGGGTATGCGCCGCTGTGAAGGGTATGGTGTTCAGGCAGTTTAGTCTGGGCTAGGGCGTAGAAATCAGACAGTTTTGGTCTAGAATAGGGCATATTTTAACGGAAAAGTGGTAACTGTAGAAATAATTTAATCTAGAACAGGGGTTCTTTACCCGAGGTTCAATAATAGAAAGTGACACTCGGAAGTAATTTTGTAAGATATTGGTTTAGTTAGGGTATGTTGGAGTACAATAGTGATAAGGGTTCTGCATGGAAGATAACTATTCTCGGATAGGGCAGTGGTTTTTGGTGCCTAGTCTAGAATAGGGTTCCAAAACAAGCTGATCATGGTTTAGTGTAGTGTAAGAGTTTCAGTGTCCCAGCGCCCAAAGGTTGACAATATACCTCCCCCACTCCGCCCGAAGATAAGGCCTCGATTGCGAGTACTGACAAGATTGTCCAAGGAGCCGATTGAAAGGCGTAAAGCAAGGCAGTTTGACATAACTGAAGCTCTGTTTAGTTAAGGTTCAATGACTCACCCAAGGATGAACAAAAACCACTGGAATTTTCCACAGCAAAAGATTGAGCTTTAATTTGCTACTCTTGCATGGCATTGTGTTCGTTATTTAAAATGCTGTCAAAAAGTTATATTCAATCTACTATTGTACATAAAATATATAAAACCCTGAATTTCAATACAGTTGGTGTAAGGTATGGAAAACAACATATTACAAAGCATTTCACAAGCTGAATATTTCATTTGTCATTATAAGACAAACGGTTGATACACAGTAATGTCTTCAATGATCGCTAGCTACCGAATTCGAAAACTGGACACACCGTCAAATCGCAATGGTTTTCAAGAGAATGAGACATTATCACTGAGAGATTTGTTCCAAACAATCAATCAAACAAACAAACAATAGAAACGAAGAAACCAAAAACAACAGAATTACACTCGATTGCCAACGATCAATTAAAGCAGCCTTATAAACAACAATTACATTTCTTTTCTACATTACATTTCAATTAATTTCATTTCAGTCTAAGGAATACAGTTGAAACCTGCAATCTTGAAATTTCAAGGGAAATGAAACCACTTCCTGTGAGTGGGGTAGAAGAGAGCCGATAGAAAATAATTGAAAAAATAAGGAAAAAAAGACGCTTTCGAAATAGCGGGGAGTTCAAGATAGCAAGGTTAAACTGTACCTAACTTTTCACTTCTCTTCCCTTTGATTTACAATGTGAGTTGAAGCTCCCCCCCCCCCCCATCAAGTCAATTGTTTTCATTTACAATTGTATGCTGTACTGACTTAAAACTGACTTTGAATTACAGTGACTCTAAATAAATGGAAGATTAAAACTATATCGTCCTAAATCTCTGAATTATTAAAGATCCTTACATAATCATTACAAGATCTCTGAAAAGCCCTTCTTGCTTACGCAGATACCCATTATAAAGATTCTGACAAAGAGATTAAAACCCCTACAAGAATGAATATTTTTGCTTACTTTACAGCGAGGTTTTTGACATGCTTTTTATTCCAGTGACCTGCCAACTTAAATCTGAGATTTACTTTCGAGTCAACCTACAACAGTGAACAAAAAAGACTGAAGAACCAAATGAAAAACGCTCGTCTCTACCTACATTCTCAGTCTACGACCAAAACAATCACAATACCAGATGGAAAGTGCCAAAGGTAAGCACAAATAACTCATGTTTTCACTAAAATTATTTCGAATTGGCACACTTTACCGGTTCTCTAGTCTTTTCATTCCGCGCGGTTTTGTTACCTAATTGCTAAGGAAAGGTTTTCCCAAACGATTTCACCGTAACTGAAAACATTTACAAATCTGTATAAATTTATATATAAGGCTGCCAACAAATTAAATCTAAGCCCGCTCTCTTGCTTCCAACCCTAATCGAACCCTCATGATTCTACAAATAAACTCTATTCCATATAAGGAGAAGATCGCTATATTAAGGTTATAAACCAGCCCTGCCGGTTGATCACATGTGATTATCACCTGCTGTCATGGTTCCAGACCATGCCGGTGTGCACACTCGTGTTTGAATCGACGCAGATTCGTCCAATCACTAATAGAAATCTTTTCAAAAACAATGTGAAAATGACGGACTTTGGATGAATAACTCACTTCATACATGTTAAAAAACAACGCAACCTGTACGAAAAAAAAACAAAAGAAAACATAATAACAGTTAGATCGAAGAACACCAGTCAGAGGTAGAGAAGATTAGAAAAATGGAGTAGGCCTAAGCTAGTTATTTGCCGCTCCCCGGCTCTAGTCTGGTTTCGCCCCACCCCCTCTCTCTGGGGAAGGAGTGCGGGCTCCCGACCAGCGGCTGTTAATCATCGAGAGACAGCCTGTGTTTGCAAGCTGAGTAAGCACATCACAAGGAAGATCATATTAAAATAATTTTATGTAGAAATCATATGGTTAGAGCTGTAAAAAGCAGCCTAAGAGAGACCTTGTGAAGACTAGTACACAAGGAAAGGGCGAAGTTTGGCTGATGCCACGATTCTGTACGAAAGATCGAGAAACGCGGAGAGAGAGATTGCAAAAGGAGATTCCAAAATGAACAAGAAATTGTTGAGTTGGTTCAAAAGAAATAAAAGTGAGTCACTAATTACCTGCTCTGCTCGGCAATTCCATCAGAATCTCGTCGTATCTGAAAAATTCAATTGAACACTGCAAGCATGTTAGTATCACTAAAACAGTGATGTTTGGGAAACTGTTTGTAAAGTTACGCTGAGAGCATGAAGAGTAAAAGAGTTAATTCCCCAACATTAGCCAAGTTATTTTTAAACATGGTGCCCAGTACTTCCGCGGTTATCACGCGCGTTACGTGGATATTTTCGCGGAGGACAAAAATGCTCGTAAAGCCACTTGGACTGTCCACGTGAGAAACTCCTCGTCACAGAATTGGCTATTCCTAGACTCTCCTAGAATATCCGAAACCCATCTTACAAAAGTTTAAGAAGGATAACCCTGGAAGTAAGCTCTTTACGAGGGATTAACTCTCTCATCCTTCTTCCACTCTTGTTTGGAGTTGATAAAGGTAAAGTAACTGGCGTTGAGACATCGAATGTTAGCGCTTCAATTCGTCAGAGCGAAGTGGCGAAGGGTTAGTGTTGGAAACGTCAGTCAGCTTCACGGAATTGCTACGGCGTTTAGTTAATTCACCTTTATCAACTCTATTACATTAAAAATAAATGACAATTTTTAGAGAAGAAGCCACATCAGCCTTCGTTGATTTTCATGCAGGTCCTCTATATCCTGGTCGAATTGGAATTTGGAGATTTTGGTTTCTGCTTACTACGCCAAGATTTGCTGCTATAGATTATTAGAAAACAGCGCTTAAAAACGGACTGCCCATCATGTTTCATGTATTTTCGCTGGCAATTAAATAATGGTATTTATGACTGATTAAACGGCTTCAGACTTTAAAATGTTAACTTCGGGCGGTGTGATGACGAAANTAACGCTTCAATTCGTCAGAACAAAGTGGCGAAGGGTTAGTGTTGGAAATGTCAGTCAGCTTCACGGAATTGCTACGGCGTTTAGTTAATTCACCTTCATCAACTCTATTACACTAAAAATAAATGACAATATTTAGAGAGGAAGCCACATAAGCCTTCGTTGGTTTTCATGCAGGTCCTCTATATCCTGGTCGAATTGGAATTTGGAGATTTTGGTTTCTGCTTACTATGCCAAGATTTGCTGCTATAGATTATTAGAAAACAGCGCTTAAAAACGGACTGCCCATCATGTTTCATCTATTTTCGCTGGCATAATGGCATAATGGTATTTGTGACTGATTAAACGGCTTCAGACTTTAAAATGTTAACTTCGGGCGGTGTTATGACGAAATTCTTTACGGCAGTCTGAAGACAAAAATCTCCTCACGGAAGCCTATAGTCCACCATATTAAATATAGCTCGCAGAATCCCGAAAATGTCTGAAATAAGTCCATTTTCAGCATATCCTTGTCCCCCACTGAATTCGGATTGGAAAATATTATACAATGGATAAAAAAAGTTCCTCGAAGCATGGGAAGAGAATTGAAAAACCTTCAGAACGGGCAAAAACGCAGCATATACGGGAGGGAATAGACCGTTACAAAACCCACAAATAAGAAATAAACACTTGAAGTACTGTAAACACTTTATTAAGGTTTTTTTTTTTTTACAATTCAACGAATCTCCGATTTCGCAACATTTACGTGACCGCCAATGAAAACAAATCAACCACGATCACGTGGTTAGAACAAGGCGCCCTTTTCCCGCCAAAACTTAGCATTGACAAACCCGACATAGGAAAAGAAACCATACACTTTAATGTGAAGATATACGCCACAACGCATTTTCACTGTAAAAAAACTGATATAAGCTTATATATAATAATGTAACCCAAAATTGCCTTTGGACAAAATAATTAAATATGAAAAATTGTACCACCTATAACAAGCGATATGAAATATAGAACAATATTTTCTAGATTCAAAACAAAATTATTTTAGAACATCTTTCTATAGATCCAAAACATTACAACTTTAGCCATCTTCTTTATTTAACAGCCGTCAAAAACTATAGCTTTCTGTTCGTGCAAGCCGATAATATTTAGTCTTTGCAATTCTTCGTAGTCGTTATGGTCGTCACACAACCTTAAGTGACACTTGTCACGCAACTGGGGCAGAGAACCGTTTGCGTTACGACCTAAACGACAACTTATGAAGAATCATCCCAATTTGAACCAAAATAGTATTTTATCTTTTAAGTTTTTCGATTTAACAACAAGACATTTTAGGTTTTAGGGATAAATTCTTCCATTAGCCTTTGGGCAAAGTAGAAAAGTATTTATAAAGTAAAAATTCATCAGTTTATTTCTAAATTCAGCCACTCGAGCCTTTGACAAGTAACACAGCTTCCTTCAGTCTGTGGGGAGAATCAGAAAAAAAATCACCGTTTAACCCTCTCAATCTTAATGTCAACAACGAAATTCTCCCAAATACTTAATGCACAATCATGGTAATTCTTTTCAGGAGAATTCCGTATACAATCATGCATTTATAGATGGCTAGATGAGAGATCGCAAATTTTATAATCTGCATAAGAAATGATTAAATAATGAATCAGTGTTCGATGCTGTAGGATTATAAAAGAAAATGAACTAGACGATATTGACATAGATGCGTTAGAATAACTATTACAGTGATTATAATACATGGGTTAGTAAGAAGATTGGACGTTAAATTATTACAAATATAGTAACATAATTATGAAGATGTACAAGATAATTAATTAAAGTAAATAGGTTAATTATCACCAGAACAAATTAATGTTAACATCAAACGGGTTAAATAAAGCGAAGACGTTAAATACGTATGTTAACCACACCGAAAGGCCGAAGAAAGGTGAAGGTGTATGTTAATGTAAATGTTACAAAACAGAAATTTAAACTTAGTTTCATTTAAAGTTTATCATATGCGATTCGGAAACATATACTACACAAACTGAATGGATAACATTTCAATCAATCACTCGTTTTTAATGTGTCGAAGTTTAGATAGCCGAGGGTTTGTTTACACCTGGTTTTATATTAACGTTTTATCTTATATGATTATAGCAGATTTGAAAAACGAACGTTTCAATATTAACTAATTGGTTTAAATGGTTAAAATTAAGTTAATGTACTTTAAAATTTAATTTTAATAATTTCACATCAAGTATTAAACTCGACATTTACGTTTGAAAAACATTTTAACTTTGTTTAACAATACTGTCATTATTATCGAGTGCAGCAAAACAAAAATGGATACTAACAAAAGAATGTATCTTCTTGTAAACCAACACGAAATGTCTCATATAACTGGCCCAGCCTATAAGCCTTTGTTAAGTAACGGTGGAATGCTGACGAGATGCCAAACGAACAAGTACTTTGGCCAAAGCGTTAAAAAAAACTTGGCAAAGAAAAACACTTCTGCCGTGAATGACGAATCGAACTAAGGCAAAATCAACAAGCGTAAGATGTGACTATGAAACCCTGTAATTTTCATGGTTCGCTTTTCGGTGTGAAAGTTCCATTTATTATCTTAAAGCAGCATCGATGAACCAAGCGAAGACTTCTTTATAGACTCTACACGGAGATAGCCTGTTCCAGGCTCTCGGTCAATGGGGACGATCAAAAAATTGAGCGGGCGCCCGCCCGCTTTTTCCATCATCCCCAATGACCAAGAGCCTAGAACAGGCTAACACACAGAGAGAAAGCGTGTATTATGACGTAGCGACCTCACGAACAAGCCGGAGATATACCTACGCGACTTGCCCCTTTATCCTCGTTCCTCGTAACTTTCGCGTGCACTCGCGTGATCAGTTTTGGGAGAAAATTCCCGACGAGTAGCAATTTCATAGCACTACACAAAATGACTAGAGACAGTTTGAATTTTTCCAGCATGTTTTGTAAGTGAATAATTTTGGTAACGAGCATTTTCGTTGCATCAGGGAAGAATTGCTCTGTTGCTGAAATTAAAAATCGCACGGCAATGCGAAACGAGAACAGAGACCTTACGCAATTACCACCGCGACCCCAAGGACAACGCCTAGTAAAACATGAATT